GCAAAGCAAAGCAAAGCGAAGCAAAATCTTGGGCAACTCTCAACTTTTGACCGTTTTGACAATTAGCTGTCTCTATGTATCTTTTCTCGTGCGCTTGCATTTGCATTTAATGACAAAAATAGGGTAAGTAGGAATTTTTATTGCTATTATTAATGCATATTATTATATTGCTATCTATTTTACCGATAAAAAATATGGAGGAAAAGGAGAACGCAAAAGCTGTCAAAGCGTTTATTGTAGCATACCTTCCGCGTTTCACGCTTTGTTGTCAAAGTTTGAACTGTCAAGCAAAGCGAGGAAAGTTGTATGTGAATGGCCCTTNATAATATTTACTGGTGTTATTATATTTAAAAGTACACAAATGTAGAAAACGTACATCGATAATTTGATAATGAATATTTTTAATAAATAATCGCGCGATTTTTTATTAAAAATTTTCATTATTTATCGAAGTATTGATTTTTATGGAAAAAACGCCACAGGCGAAAATTTTTAATAAAAAATCGCGCGATTATTTATTAAAAATTTTCATTATCAAATTATCGATGTACGTTTTCTACATTTGTGTACTTTTAACTATAATAACACCAGTAAATATTATTTCCCCCCGAAAAAATTATACCGTTATGATCAGGAGTAAGAAATAAAAAATAATTTCGATGTCGGTCCGAACATGGTATAAGAATGAAAGGTAAAGGTTTTAAATGAAAAGAAAGTGAAGTGTTTTGGTTTTGTTTTGTGTAGCAAAACTGTAAACAGCCGGTGTGAACAGTCTACAGCCCACAATACCAAAACTCGTTTTCGAAGTTTTTTCGAGGTCGGTCAGAACATGGTATAAACAGGGTATATTTATACATCGATTTGAAAATTCTCGCTGCATCGAAGCAAAACATCGATATTTTGGATCCATTCCTATGGCAAACGCTTTGTAAATTGACATTTCTGGTAGAATTAATTTAAAAGTTTTAAAAAATATTCGCTTTAATATGGCTTCAAGCAATGGATTTATAAATCTAACCACTCTGGATGAGTTGACTTTTAAGCGCAGCAAATGGTGGAGCAGTTTTTTAGAGGTTCGTTGTGATAGTGTTGTAGCAAAATAATTTATTTAGTTTTCGCATGCCTTAGGGACTAGGTGAACATGATTCAACAGAAGTTTTCTATCTGGATGAATTGGAGGAAAAATATAAGGACGAATTTGCTGATTTAGACGGCAGAAATAATACTAAGGAAGCGGAGGAGTCTGACGTTGCTGAAGATATTGAACAAAGTATGTTAAAAGGGATGACAGAACTTGAAAGAAATTCGTTTTTGGAGTCTTCTGATGTTCAAGATATTCTAAATGCTACACGGCCAATATTGGAAGAGCATGATCGAAAATGGAAGAAGGCTGGACTAGATCGCATACTAAATACTTTTGATTCTGTTCGCATTGAAAAGGAAGTCGGTGACTGGATGCGCCGAAACCATAGTACCGCAATAGCCAACTGTGAATCTGGAGACCATACCGATTCTTCGAGCTCTTGTGATACAGAACGCTATATACTTTCTACACGTAAAAATGGTTTTAGACGGCGCAGCAGTATCAGATCGATTAAAAGGTTTAAAAATTCTCAAAAATTACGACACAAACATGGTATGCTAATCGAAAGACACATGTACCGAGCATACAAATGCAATTGCTGCAAACATAAATTCAACGGATCAAATCAATTGGTATGGGAATCAGAATCAGTTGGACTGGAAGATACAACTGATACGGATGATTATGACGATGATAATGAACGTAGGATTTCTATGCATCCCGTTAATTTACGCCGATGTAGGTGCGAACCTCCACTTAAGCGACAATATGATACAAGCACAGATTCTGATTATGTTTCGCTTAAAAATCCTACAATTTCACGCCGATCCCTACACTACACATGCGTAGAGCAATTATGTTTCAAGGGAAGAGACGATTTGCGCAACAAGCAGTGCTCTAATAGGCGTCCACGGTAAGTTGCTGTTAGTTTGGTTACATTAATTTCAAATTTTAATGGCTATATATTTTATTAAGCCCCAGTATTAGACTAGCTCTCATGGAACCAAATTATGAAACACCACCAAAATGGTCATCAGTAAGAGACAATATTACCAACACAGCACCCTCCAAATTTTCTAAGAAGCGAGTAGCTGCAAAGAAAGCTTTAGCAAAGATAATAACCAAAGGAAATTTAGCCAATGCCAAGAGGCTTTCTATAGAGACTCAAGTGAAAGACAGTTCAGATAAATGCATCTCTACATTTGAAAAAGATCTGAAAAATTATGAAACACCACCAAAATCGTCATCAGTAAGAGACAATATTACCAACACAGCACCCTCGAAAGTTTATAAGAAGCGAGTAGCTTCAAAGACAGCTTTAGCAAAGATAAATAAGAATGAAGATTTAGCCAATGCCAAGAGGCTTTCTATAGAGACTCAGGTGAAAGACAGTTCAGATGAATGCAACTCTACATTTGAAAAAGATCTGAAAAAAGCTATAGCACTTTCGTTGGAAACAAAGGCGGAGACTTGTAAGAATGGTACAGAGTCGAAAAAAGAAGACTTGCTAAATTCTGATTTAATCCAACCAATTAAGAATTTTAATTCGAATATGGTAGTTATACTTTCAAGCACCGATTCGGAGCGGTCATCTAAGCAAACCAATGGTTATTCAAAAAAACTTACTACTCAAACCACCACAAAAATTGGTAAGCGAGCTACAGAAGATACAAAAGAAAATACATTTTTGTCGAATGCCGAAAATATTTGTAACTCTACGGCATTGAACGGTGCTGCCGCGCGCAAGCAGTTAATTAGTCGTCTACCGACAATAAGTGAAAACACAGCCCACAAAATTTTTCACGATACGCTGTTTAAAGATGATGCAACTCCCAAAGCCGCTGCACGTTGTTTGACCACCGTCGGTAAAAGTTCAATGCTCGATACGACAGCACTAAACGACATTAAAGTTGGAAAAGAGTTTATAACGCTTCCATCACCAGAGCAAGGGCGAACAATGCCCAGAGTATGCGTCTCCGAAACAAAGCGTATATTAAAACCACAAATTGTCTCGCGTGGTGGAAAATCCGCAATTGGACCAAGTATCACAGAAAAAGTTAACAAAAAACAAAAACCAGCACGCATTCTTTTATACAAACCTCAGCAGAAACAGCAACTGCAAGGTGCCTATTTCCAAGTAACTAAAGAGCTTTTGAGTGATGTAATTGGGGAGAAGGACGCATGCAGATTTTTGAAGCACCATCTTGGACGTCTTTCATTTCCTAACACATCTACTGTGTATTACTGTCCCCCTGAGGAGGAACTCTCGAGCTCTGACAGTGATGACGATCCCTTGCAGAAGGTTGGGCGTTGTGGTGAATTGTATGAGTCTGTGCTACGCGATGATAACGAGATAATTTAAGATGGGCCACTTTTGTTTTAATGTGTAAGTTTTTAGATAAATGCAATGAAAACAGCTTAAAAATTTAAAACCAATACCAGCGTTTAAGTTATATAATATAAAAAACTTGTTCCACTACCTTCCAAAATATGGTTTAAGTTTTCTCAAAATTTTTTTTTAAATCAAACACTACATTTTAAATAAAATACGAAGACTTTATAATAGTTTGAATGTCTAATTTTCCTTTAATTTAAATCGATTGTTGAGAATAAAATAAAAAAAACAACACGTACATGATAAATAATATAAAGTGAATAATAAAAAGTATTTCTTCAGCTCGAACATTTATGTATGTATGTAAATTAATCTTAAAAACAATTATTTTCGTTATAAATGAACAATTAAATTGGACATACGAAACGTAAATGTATAAATATTACGTTTTATTCCACAAAACAGCAGGGATACACTTGAAACAGTAAGTATTTTTGGGTACAACAAATGTGTTTGTTATCCAAAATTGGCAATCGTTTTATAGGATATTTCATATAAATTTTGATTTGACCAAATTTTATTTACATTTATTTTCACACATTCAGTTAACTTAACAAATACATATGCGTTAATAAAAGTAACTCCGATAAAAAACGCGATGAAAGTACAAAAAATATATGTAGATAGGGAAATTTGAATTTTAGATACAAACTTCGTTAAATCCAATCCTCTTTGCCAGTGATGACTTACTAGATATATGTGTATGTATTTATGTATGTATATAAGAATATTTCTTTAGATATTAGTACTATATTCGCGCTAACACTGCAAGGCATTTTGCTGTTTCTTTGTTCATACATCTGCATTCTGCATATTTGAAAATTATTGCACCGTTCGCAAGGCACTTTACATATAAATGAGCTTTTAGCCTAAACATCAATTTGAAATGGGGAGCCGGGAATATGTTCTTCGCCCCATTTGACTATTAGTATATATTGTCCACGATCGCGCACCATATAGTTCACGTTGAAGTTATTGCGACCGGTATGTTTAACATTGAATTCCTCGCAAGGACCTTTCGGCCCATACATGCCCACGAAGAGCATATTGTTGCCAGCATCTGTGGCATTCACGGTGAAATTGTTCTGTTTTCCCATATACGCCTTCTTTAAGCCCATGCCTTTTGATGTGATTTTGGAGGCGTCCGACTTAAATGTGGGCATATGGACGCCTGTGTTCTTGCCGCCTTTAGCTAGCTTTTGCACCGTTTCAACGATCACTGAGGAAGTCTCTTGAGCACCCTCATCGGCCAATTTATCGCCTTGGAAAAAAGGAAAAATACGTTGAAGTTAGTGGGCTGTTGAAAATTGCTGCAGCATTTGCATACTTACCAACGCAGTTTACTTTGAATGGCGAGCCAACAATGTGCATATTGTTGTATTTCACCGATATGTAGTGCTCACCGGGGAGCAATGGTGTGTAGCGAACCTTGTAGCCCTCTTCCACTTCCGTGCAGTCCATGGCAACTTTTGAGGGACCATCAATGGAGACGGAGAGCGTGCCGACGCCCGCATTACAAGTGTTTATTATAAAGTCAGCTTTATGGCCAGTCTTAACTTCGTCCAAACCGGCGCCGGTGGCGTGTACAGCAGCTGGATCGGCTACATCCTTGCCGACCTTGATTCTGAATGGTGATCCGGGTATGTGTACGCCGTTGAATTTTACGTGGATGGCATGAATGCCGTTCTCGCGTGGATAGAAGCGAACCGAATACATTTCACTGTCGATACTCTGGATAAAGCAATCATCGTCAGTGCCGGATGGTGCAACGATTTTAGCATCGAGTGTGCCTTTGGCGCCATTCTTACGCACCATGAATTGATAGGGTGCATCGGCTTGGATGTTGCCTAAAATTTAAACCAAACATGTTAACATATGATTGTGCTGGTCCAGGGAAGCTGAATTCTTACCTTGAGGGAACTGCTGCACTTCCAGTTTGTGTGCATCTCCAGCATCGGGAGATATGTAAACCTTGAATGGCGAGTCAGGTATGTGACGATCGTTGAATTTCAAACCAACTCGATACTCTCCGGGTTCGGTGACCTTGTATGAAACATCACATGAGCCGTCCTTGCGATCTTTGAAGTCTATTTCAGCTTTGCTGGGACCTTCCACCGAGATAGCCAGCGATCCGCCACCAGCCTCACGTGTCCATACATTAAATTCAGCCGGCTCGCCGACAATACCACGTTCCAAGCCTGAACCACCGGCTTTCACTAAATGGCTTCCAAAGTCGCGCAGAGGACCCACTGTGAACTGGAAGGGTGAGCCGGGGATGTGGATGTCCTTGTAGCGTACCGAAACGGTGTGCACGCCCAATTCTTTCGGCACGAAATGCACCGAGTAGAGTCCATCTTCGACTTCCTGTATTTCCGCATCCTCAGTCACATTGCTGGGCGATGTTACACAGGCCATTAGGTCAAACGATGTGATGCCCGGCATCTTAAAAGTCAATTTGCACTTGCTGCCGATCTCAGTTACTGGAACTGCATCGCGTTCGCGCTGAATTTTTTCGCGCTTGCGATTGCTACCCTCACCAGTGACTTTTACGGTGAATGGTGAGCCCTCAACGTGGTGATCGGCGAATTTCAGATTTACAATGTAATAGCCTGGCTCCGTAGGCTTGTATGAAATGTTGAGTGTACCATCATCTTTGTCGGTGCATTGGATCTCCGCTTTGCTGGGACCCTCAATCGATACGGATAGACCACCGTAGCCAGCATTACGTGTATCCACAGAGAAAATGTTGTCGGTGTGCGTTATTCCCTCTGTTAAGCCAGTGCCGGAGACCTTAACTTTCTTTGCATCGCCTACCTCACGCTCGCAAACGTCCACTTTGAATGGCGAGTTTGCAATGTGCGTACCCATACGTTTCACCGATACCATATGCACGCCGATTTCACGTGGGGTAAATGAGATGCCAATATTGCCAGTTGGCATACGCTTGAGGAAGCAGGGCTCTTCCAAGCCACTAGGCGCTTGAATAGACGCATTCAAGGCGCGCAGATCATCGTCCGTAATTTCCCCGGGCATGGTGACTTCCGAACAGGAACCAACCGAAATTTGATTACGCTTGCGACCCTCACCGGTAATTTTGGCGAAATATGGTGAACCTTTTATATGCTTGTCACCGAAGCGCACCGAAACTTGATATTCACCCGGGGCAGTTGGCAGGTACTGCACCGACACTGTGCCATCTTTGTTGTCATGGTAGTTGATCTATGGGGAAAAAGTGGCATATTTGTAGCTCGCGGTAGTACGATAAGTTCGATTTGTCAAAAGAGTTTAGGTCGTTGTTCATCGATACTTACATCGGCCTTGCTGGGACCTTCCACAGCCATAGTGAGACCACCAGCACTAGCGCCCTTAGTTGAAATTGTAAAATTGCATGGTTCACCAGTGACGCCGTGGGTCAGACCGGGTCCGTAGGCAGTTACATAACCAGATGTGATGGAATCGACGTGGAATTTAAAAGGTGAACCTAGAGAGCAGATAAGAAATATGAGAATCGCGGAGCTTCATACCATATGCATACATACATTTATGTATATAAATGAAAGTCACATAAAATGGGAAAATTAAAGATGATCCGATGAATGGAAAATAATTGTTGCGATATTATAAATTCAACCGACATAAAAAATTCAACCTAGCAAAATCCGCCATATTTGCAAAAAATGTTAAGTTGGTTTTACGTGCTACCCACCAGTTTTCTAGTCCATTTTGTGACTGTTGTAGTGCCACAAAGCTCTCGAACATCCGGAAATGTTATCGAACTAATACTGAACTATAGCCATTGGAACTATTGGAATGAAGACGTTTGGGGTTCGCTGTGGTGCAAAGAGACTTATCTACCCAAGAGCAGACACAGGTAGGAAAAAGGGCGGCCGCCGTGGCCGAGTGGGCGGAGGTGTACACTATCGCTTGGTATGCCCGTGGACATCCACGGTCTGAGCAACATCAAATAAAAAAAGCTTTTATTCTTACAGTCGCCGCGCTTTGGCAGCCAATGGGGATATCTCTTTCTCGTCTATTTTCAATACATCCGACCCAAAAATGTACCATCGAAGTCTGGCTTAGGTAGCGACCTCAAGTGAAAATACTCAATGTTAGCAGGTGCGTAAGCGCCATTATTTATTTTATTTTATATTTCTATCTTCGGAGAAACCCCACATAGAGGTGGACTGGACGGTTTATGTGGTGCCAACATCGTATATGACGAATATTATGTCAGACCGTTATTATGCCTTATAGTGTCCTCTCACTTAACGGTTACCAAACTTACACAGTCCTGCTGCTCTTGTTGTTGTTGTTGTAGGGGCTACAACAAACCCGCCCAGATGGATTCATATCTCAGTAGTTGTCGTCAAGCTCCACTAACGGAAATCCTAAGAAGCGTTCACCTCAATGGGGTCGGTCCACAGGGATAAAGGCGTTAGCGTTGTCGGGTTTTCCGGGCATACGAAGAGATGTTTCGAGTCGTGGGGTGTCTCTCCACATGCAGGGCACTCATTTAGCACATCTGTGTCTAATCTACTGAGGTATGAGTTTAACCTACTGCAGTAGCCAGAGCGAAGTTGGGCTATTGTGGTTCTAGTCTCCCGAGACAGATGAAGCTCCATCTCGTCGATGTCTCGTGGTTGTGCGCCTAGAACGGCATTCACAGACTGACTCCCTGCTTAGTGAACGTCTGGACTTCGTCCGTCAGTTCGTAGAGATGCCTCCTGACGTGCCTGTGCGAGGGCATTTATAGGGAGCATTTTCACCTAGTCGTGCAAGTGGTGTTCTGGCGACATCAGAAGGCATCCAGTCGCTGTCCGAAGTGCAGTGTGTTGTGTTGTCTGTAGCTTCATCCACTGCATCCTACTAGTCCACGGCGACCACACTGGTGCTGCGTAATTTAAAACCGGCCGGCCTATTGCCTTTTATGTTGCCAGCAACGTTTCTTTGTCTTTTCCTCAAGTACTGCCGGATAGTGATTTGAGACCCTTGTTGCGGCTCTGTACTTTGTTGACAATAGCGGTTGCGTGCTCAGAGAAGGAGAGCAGACTGTCGAAGGTTACTCCGGATATTTTGGGGTTATTCACTGTCGGAATTGGTGTATTATAAACATGAATTCCCAGCGATTGTCTGACCTCCCTCGTCCAGGTGGTGCACAGGGTCGCAGAGGAGTTTCTAGGGGAGAGGGTTAGGCTCCTAGCAGTGAAGAAGCAATACAGCTCGGAGAGATACCCTTTATTTTCGAACACAAGTCATCAATTCCTTTCCGAGACGCCATTATCGAACAATCGTCAGCATAAGAGACAATAGAGACTCCTTCTGGTGGTTGAGGAAGCTTTCAAATGTAGTAGTTAAACAGTAATGGGAAAAAGACACCACCCTGTGAAACCCCCTGTTTTATTTTCCTCGGTTAACTCGATTTGTCCCTAAACATTACTGACAAGTGTCGACCACTGAGATGATTCGCCGACCGCCGTTTGAGCCTCTGTGCAAGAGAGGACGCCTCTATGTCTTCTAGCAGCGTGGAGTGGCTGACGGTGTCAAACTCCTTTGACAGGTCCAACGCTACTAGAATAGTTCGTGAAATACGGGAGCAGTAAGGCCTCTAATGTCTTCGCTAGCGGGGAAAGGAGTGTTATCGGGCGATAAGATTCTCCTTTGTTGGCTGGTTTCCCTGGTTTCCCTGGCTTGAGCAGTGAGACTACTCTCCATATCCCAGATATCTGGGATGATGAGAGTGGCCATTAACGTATTGAGGACGTTCGTTAGGTATTCTACTCCCGTAGGATCCAAATTTTTCAGCATCAACATGCATATTCCGTCCGGCCCCATTGCTTTGGAGGTTTTCGCCTTCCCGATGGCCACCTGAAGCATGGTCGCCGAAAGAAATTGCGACCCTGTCGTCGTGCTTCGTCGGATTGGACAATGACGTCACGGTTGACCAAAACTTACTCAGACCAAAGGCGAAGTCTTCAGATACTCTTCGCACTTTTTCCGCGTATGTACGTTCACAAGCTGCCGAATCTCCGCGTTGAGATCCCTGGTACGGGGATTCCCGGGTTCGGCCTGACGAAGGATGTCACGCTCTTTGGCTAGAACAGACACTTCAGCAGGGAAGTTTGGACGTGGCTCTGTAATGCATCCTGCCGGTACAAAGCGAGCTGCAGCAGCAGTGACAACCCTGCGGAACTTACGTTCACCAAGGTGGACGTCGGTTGGTATGGGGAGCGCAGCGAAGGTGCTCTCAGTAAATTCCACGAAGCCTTTCCAATCAGCTTTAGAAAAGTTGATATAGGTCCGGTGTTCCGCGGAAGCAAAGTCGGTTCGTTTATCGATCGAGATGACTATGGGCAGATGGTCTGATGCTAAAGTCAGCATGGGTCGCCATGATACGCTGTTTATCAGACCAGCGCTGACTATTGTTATGTCTAGCGAGCTGCCCATAATCCTGGTGGGTGCGTCGTCGTTCATTGTGCAGAATGTCGAATCGTCTATCTGCTCAGCCAAGTGTGTTCCCCTACGATCGTTTGACAGGCTTGAATGCCAAAGATCGTGGTGCGCATTAAAGTCACCAACTACCATACGGTTTTCACCTCTGAGAAGCGCACCTATATCAGGGTGATATCCTGCCGGGAGCTAGTGGAAGGGGTATATAAACGTGAAATATTTCGAGTTCGACATCGCCTGACCGGACAGCAATGCCCTGACATTCTAGGGTATTATCCCTGCGGTCGATGTCTGCTTCAATAAGACGATACTGCACGGTGTGGTGCGTGATGAAGGCTAAGCCACCACCATTATCTCGCTCGCGATCTCGTCGATGCACGTTTTATCCGGCACAATTCAACAATGTCGCCTCTTGGACCGCAGGTATCAATATACCATGCCTTCCCATGTAGTGGTAGTGGGTGGGGTCACAATTGGGGTTTGCGACCGAGCAGCGCAACACGGGCCCTCGAAATTCCTCGTCCAATCTCGCGTGTTGCGCAGACCTGAACATGCCCTAAAGTGGCACCAGCCAAGGCAGGTTTTGCACTTGCCTGATGTGACGATACAGAATATCCGGGTCTAACATATCGTGCAGATTGTAGGAGGAACCAGGAGTTATTGGCGGCGTCGGGTGGGTGGTGGTGCGGTTGTGTGGTCTATTGTGTTGTTGTGTTGTTGTGCTGTGGTGTTTGTGTGGGCATGCTCAGGTGGACTGGGGTTAGCCGTGGATGCTGCTCTGTTTGAGCAGCAGGGGGCCACAAATGATGTGGTGCACTGCCGATGGGTTCGTTATCCTGAGCAGACCCTGAGGTGACTCCAACCGTCGAAAGTATTGCTCTTGCCTGAGGTGGAGTTGTGGTATAGTCATCTCTGGCATAAACAGCAGGTGTAAGTTTCTGGCCCTGGGATTGACTCGATGCCAGCCCTGAGCAGAAGAGTGCGTAGCAAATGCAGTCCTATGGACGAACAACTTCTGAGATACTTCGCGGACTTAAACCGGGTTACATCGCCGAAACAACAGCCCTTGGTCGGGTAAAACCCGAGTCATTCCGGTACGTAGAACTGTCATGGGGAAGACACAGTCCTGCTCTCAACGTTTGGTGATTGCCAGTTCGAGCTTGAAAGGTAATAATAGATAGAGCATACACATTTTTGTTGTAACATAGATTGATGAGATGCTAATGTCTACAAAAAAATGTAGGGCAGCAGCGAATGCAACACTTAGGGAGATCGGATTTTCGGCAACCCTCTGACTAGAGCGGGCTTAACATATAAAATGTTGGCATTAAGCGCTAATTTGTATGTAATTCTTGGTAAGGGCGAATAGCTCTGAACCGTAGATTCGCTTTCAGACTACAGGCATTAACCGCTAATTTTTATGTAATTCTTGTTAAGGGCGAATAGCTCTGAACTGTAGATTCGCTTTCAGACTACAGGTATGTATTTACATACATATATCGACTTCCTGCAGAACAAATACCTTCGTCGACAATGCGAAATTTGATTTCGAGTAGGTATATTTCTTAGCCCGCCCCAAAACTTATATTTAAATAGACTGGTTCCACTAACGCTTCAGGTGAAACAGTGTGCAAGAAGCTACATAATTCGCTCTGCGTAAAAGGCATTTATTAAAGAGTAGTGCAGTGTTATTGAATGAAACTTTGTGCTAAACGGCTAGGCTGGTAAGTACAACTGGTTTGTTGCTGCAACTGTAGGGAATGCTGGATCCCTTGCCAGCTTCAAATTGCCCGGTTAGGATGGTAGCATAGTATTCAAAGAAGGTGTTGAGTAGAGATTGGCACGGGACAAAATATTTAAACCCGATACCACCCATCCCGGAATTCAATTTTTAAATCCCGAACCGGCCTATGCGGACGATTTTCAGAATTGTATCGCGAGTCTCGTGGGCACCGAAAGCTATCACTAAGAAATATTCACATGTCTTTCAAATTAATTTTAAATAATAAAAAAAATAATATTGAAAGATCTGGCATCTTCCGGTTCTTTTGTCAAACTTGACATGTGCTCTAATTTTTCGTAGGAATAGACAATAAACAAGTATGATAATTGGGTGGTCCGGAATTTTTATGCTCTCACCCCCTGGGATTGTTCTATACCGAAAAAAATATACCCTAATTTTTTTATTTTGAAATCAAAAAATATTTAGAGGTCGCTTAAAGCGCCCAAAGATTTCCAATGTATTTTATATGCGGAAAAAACAACGTTTAATACCCAATGTTTATTTAACAATTTTTTCATCGCAACTATAATTTATAGGTCAGCCAATAACTCTCAAAAACCCTGAAAAATTCAATGGGGCGACCATTGCATTAAAACATGGTTAAATAAACAATTGGATATTATTATTGAGAGTATTCTGAAGAGAATCACAATTTTCCGATCGAAAAATATTGATTTTCAGGATTTCCATATCATTTAAATATTTTTTGATTTCAAAATAAAAAATAGGGGTGCACTTTTTTCGACATAGAACAATCCTAGGGGGTGAGAGCATTACAATTCCGACTTTACGGTTTNTGAAAAATTCAATCCTAGGGGGTAGGAGCATTACAATTCCGACTTTACGGTTTTTAGACCACCCTAGTGCGCACAGTGTTGTATTTTTGAAGGTTCTGTAATTCACTTCTGAATGTATTTCAACCTCTGCCAATTTGAATTCAAAGTGCATTAGATTGAAATTCACAGAAGAGTGAAATTCAGAAACTGCCTGAATAACTCAAGAACGAGAAAAGATACCTTTGTTCCATTCTTTTTGCTTACTCGGAAGAATTGTGTGCTTAAAAAGAATAAAAACCTTAGGTATGTATTTACCTTGAACGGGCTCGCCATTATATTTTACTGCCAGCTCGTGTGTGCCTTCTTCCTTGGGTTCATATTTGATTGACACTGTACCATCGCGATTGTCCTGAATGACAGGTTTATCAACCTTTCCGCTTGGCATTTTGACCTCAGCTTCAAAGAAAAAGAAAATAGAAAATATTTTTAGAGAATTTTTTTTAGAGAAACTTCTGCAGCAATAAAAAAGTATGTATCTATATTATGCATATTTTAGTGCAAAATTCAAAAATTGAATTTTTTAACCAAGTAAAAAAATTATGCAAACGTTTTTATTGCATGTATTAAATTGATTGGTTTTCATAGATTTCCGAGATGTACTTATATATGTATGTATGTATGTATTAGGGATTTAAATTTTTCACCTTTTCCGATCTCGGGATTTTCGGGATGCCGTTATCACAATCCCGGGAAACCGGAATTTAGATATTCATTACTTTTCAATAACTTAATTAAAAAAAATTGCTTCTATATTGTTTGAGATGCTCTCCTACCATGAAATAAATAATAAATAAATGGGTTTGAAACCTACTTTTTTATTTAAAGTGGCGTTTTTATTTTTTCTCTCTGACCGCAGGATTTATTTTGAAGGGCTTTGTAATTTCAAAGATATGATTAGAATAAAAATATGGGTACCAAATGCAATAGGAAATTTCTTTAGAATTTAAAAAATGAAAATGAAAGGTAATGAAAATGAGTAGGTAATTTTTACCCCGATAAAGTCAGAATAACGAAATTCCAGGATGTTATCGAGTCCTTAATATATAATTTATGCGAAAACAAATATTGCGAAATTTCAAGGATAAAATTTTAAAAGGACATTACCAGCCCTTCTGTACCAGAAAATTGAATCTCTTCCGTATTCTACAGGATGTCCTCATTAATTTGATACCCATACCTCTTCTCTAAGCATATTTCTCTGAATTTTTTAAATCATTTTTGAATTACTGAAGTCAGAGTGAAAAAAAAAAATAAAAACGCAATTATACTATATTTGGCACATGATTTCGCGAATATATTGATATTTGTGTTTAAGGTTTACTATCGCGCAGTGCTGTATGTATAATGAGCTAGTATCAATTATTAAATAAAAAAAGAAAAATAGCCAATACTGGTCAAGAAAATGAGTTTCTATTATTGCCATCAGTGCAAATCCCGAAAATCCAGGGATTACTTGCTAAGAATCCCGCGATTTTCGGGACCTGAAAAAGGCCGCGATCCCGGGATTAACATTACTAGTATGTATATATGTACATATACATATATAACATGTTTTAATTAGATTAATTTTTGTAAACTTTGACATTAAAAATTTAAATAAAATTTATTGACGTGGTTTCTGTTATGGACTGAACTATCTTTTAAATGAAAATGATTAAAAATAAATAAATAAACATAGTTAGATAAGTTGCGGGCAATATCATTTCGAATTTTCCACCTATTATTTTGTCCATAAGTGTCATCTGTATGAACAGATAAATACTCTGTATGTATGCATTACATACGTGGTATGTGCCATGTGAATTCTCAACACAATTTAATTAAATTTTATTTTCTAGGTGGTTTTATTTCTTAAATTTTTTTGTTTATAATAATAAGTGTTATGAAAAATGGCGTCGCAATTAAATGTTTGATCGATGAATCAAGGCTAAAATATTTTTGCTAAAATCAATGTTTCGTTTGTGTCTTTTGACTTTGCTGTGTTTGCTACATAATATTTTGTAGTACATAATGTTATTTTTGAATTGCGGTATAAATAACTACAGCCGATTTTTTATTTTTATTTTAAAAATACATACATACATATGCACATATCAGCAAAATGTCATATGCACATCCAAATACATAAATAGTTTTTGGTTTCTTTATGATTAGTGGATCAAGCAGACGACATCTGCAGTTGTTTATAGAAACGATTGGTGATTATTTTGTATATTTTATGTGTTTAACCAAATAAACGAAATTTGATTTTTCCGTCGCTTGAAATTTTAATTTTGTGCATGTTTTACGATTATACAGGGTGTTGCAAAAGAACCGTTTATTTGTATAATTGAGCACACGTGCCCACAAGGCTATTTTGAGTTTGTTCACAGAACAGTTAAAAGCTAACTGGAAGAACTTCATAATCGGAGCTGGCAAAAATATGCATACAAAAATATATATTTTTGTATATATATTTTTGTATTACGACGTTCTTCCATACTACAGTAAACAGTTGGTATTAAAGATTTGGCGACGTCGACAATTGCAGTCCTGAGCAATTTTTTGAATACTCAATTCTTATATTTGAATTTTTTAGCCTAACAAAGTGATATTTGAATAAGAAAAAATCATCATAACTTTGTTCGAAATTTGCACTTTTATACAAAATAAAAGCAACAAAAATAAGAAGAATTTTCTTCAACTAAAACTGATTGAGATTTTTGTTCTCTTAAAGCAATGTGTTTTTCTTATAGCTGTTATTTTTATTGTTTTTCTTGTAGGTTCATATGAAGATATCGCACTTACCAGACAAAAAAAAAGACAAAAAAAAACAGGGCTATCGAGCAAATATTTTAATAAATATAAGCTGACAAAAATGACACATTATAAATGTAAGCTTTGACACTTTTGATGTACAAAAACTATGTTCTTTGTCTTCCTTCGCCTTCTTACTATAGAAAAATTAAAGACCGGAATATTTTCTATCGATTCCTGAAAAACAATTTTGCGCATATTTGCAACTTCTAACGTAACCTCATATAGTAATGATGGCATTTTTGGTAGCTTAAAGGCGTTTTCGGGGTTATGTTTGCATGGGAGGTATGTGTTAAAATAAATCGATTACTGCCATTTTTTTGGATGTTTAGTTATAACCAGGGAACGGATTTTATGGAAATTGCCTTATTTTCTGCTAAAGAGATAGAGTATATTCGATTAAGAATGTCCACGATTTAGCTTTCCCTGATTCCATACATACACATTTGATGTTGCCTTTTTTTGCCTTTTTTAAGATATTTGCCTTTTTTTTGCCTTTTTTAAGATTTCTGCCGTTTTTTGCCTTTTCTACCTTTAAAAAAGTGATTATAGCATTTACAATTTTTTTTTTTAGATTAAAAAATATACTCATGCCCATGCGGCTTATATAAGCGCAGGGACCTCTTGCCAAATTGGTGTTGAAAAAATTCAAAGCCGTTTTCTCAGCAAACGTAGGCTTGGAGACAATAAGGGGTGTGCATAAAATTGTAAAGGGCGAGGAAAATGCCCTTATTCCTGATAATATGAACGTTTCAAACGTTCCATATTTAAATTGGGCTCCACTTGTATCAACTTACGTCGAGCGCACATTTAGTACATTCAAGGCTTTTCTTCGCGAAAATCGAATGAAAATGCTGCCAGAAAACTTCAAAATGCATCTTGTGGTTCAATGTTACTACAACTATACAGATTAAAGTTGTTTTATGAATTAGAAACTCGAAAGGATAAAATAGTCAAAGATTAAAAGTACAAATTTTTCATATAATGAAACTAGTTCATAGTTTTTCTCTTTTTACTTTTAATATAAACATTTCTAAAATAAATATATTTTTTGATTGTTCTTCGTATTTTCTGTCTTTTTTAGTGCCTTATTTTGCCTTTTTTGCAATACCTTTTTTTTGCCTTTTCCTGCCTTTTTCGCTATTTTGTTTTGCCTTTTTTACAATACCTAGTGCCTTTTCCTGCCTTTTTCGCTATTTTATTTTGCCTTTTCCAGCCTATTTCGTTACTTTATTTTGCCTTTTTTATAGGTTTTTAGGTCCTAAAAATCCGTTCCCTGGTTATAGCATTATTACTAACATATGTATAGAGAAAATTTCTGAATGATATTTTCATCGGACCGCTTTTTACGTCCTTTTTAAAGCATTTTTGAGGTTAGGTTTGTATGGGTGATGTACTTTAAATAACCCGATTACACCCAATTTTTGAGGTTAGGTTTATATTTCCCATAAAAAATAAATCGATTACAATTTTCGTTTTTTCTTGATTTGTGTGCCACTGACTGTGTGTGACTGTGAGACGCCATGGTTAAATTCGGAATCTCCGAAAAACTAAAATGGCTATGTAGTGTGAAATTGAGCTCAACTTTCAGCTCCGTTCGAATTGGGAAGGACCTGAGTGAAGTGCAACTTTACTCTGATGTTGGAAAGTGTAATACGAGCACAAGAAAATGATCCTCCTGACAACACACAAAGAGTTTCCGCGGATTGGGTCAACGTCACTGTCAGCTAGGTGTCGCATTAACACCACCAATACTGAATAGCTAGAGATTACGTAAAGAAAAATTTTTGGCAACAGGTGCTAATTTGAGCTCGGTAGGAAATGGAAAAGCAAAGTACTGCTTCGACGAGCAAAAACCATGCTTTACAAACATCTTTTGATGCCCGTTTTTTATATGATGCAGAAAAAAGGTGGTGTTGCACAAATTTGGAAAAGTTTCTGGGGGCTTTAAAAGGCAAAGGTGAAGTGGAATATGTAGATGAAGATTATGATAAACATAAAAGTAAAAGCAAAGATAAATATAAAGAAAAATATGAGGATGAGGATACCGATAAAAGTAAAAATGAAGGAAGAAAGATTAAAATAAAGGTACTTATAGAGAAAAGGATACAGACAGAGACTCAATCTGGGGACTATTTCGGGATTTTAGAGATTTTCGGAATTCTCGGGACTTATCGATATAACAATCGATGTTTTGTCGGCTTTGTTATTGATTGATTGTTATTGATTTTGCTATCGATATTTTCGGAGCTTATCGATATAATAAACAATATTTCTTACCGATTTTGCTATCGATATTTTAATCGATTTTGTTATCGATTTTGTAATCGATTTTTTTATAGATTTTGTAATCGATATTTTTATGGATTTTTTATCGATTTTACTATAGATTTTGCTATCGATATTATTATCGATTTTGCTATCGATATTATTATCACTTTTGTTAACGATATTTTTTTCTTAGTGTGTGACTTGGACCAAAAAATATTCCTTATAAAAAAATAGGAGCGGTTTGCCGCAACAAAACCTTCATGTTGTCTTCTACCAAGCCACCAAGAATAAGTAAAAGTTTTCGAAAATGTCGTCCATGCTGCTTTTCT